GAGTCAAGGCGGTTGCATTGGTGATGCAAAGAGAATTGTTCTATAATAACATGCAGGAAGTAGAGCTTCGTGCTTTGTTTTGCTTGCACTTCTTGAGTAATCCTAGAACATTCTGCTCTTAGTGATGGGAAGGTAAGTGTTGAGAAACTGGTTCATTTGGAGAGAGTTCGGAGTCCCATCCTGGTGCAATGCTTCAGTGGAGTTGAGTTCAATTAGGTGAAACAAAAGCTTGCTTAATATTAGTGAAGGAAAAAGCTTACCTATCTTAACATCACAGAAACAAAATCTGAATGGCTGACTCCAATAAATAGTTGCATCTTTCTCTTTCTAGAATATAATCCTGCATGGGCCACACATTTAATTCCAATAATAATAATTTACATAATGTATTAGATGTTGAAACACTGTACAAACATTGGGTCCATTGTCCCTGGTGTAACTCCAGTGTCTTCCACAGAGTTACAGAAGGTATGAATTTGATCCAAGAAGTAATTTTACAGGTTATTGCTGGAGTTTGGGTTTTTGTGGTAGTTAGGCACTGAGACAGCAGAGAAGGTTCAAAATATGTTTTGTCCTTTGGGATGAATTGGTTTGTACAAACTATTCCTCAAAGCTCTTAAAAATGAGATTAAGGAGTGGAGGATAGAAGTTTTTATCCATAATGGAAGACATGTTCAACAACACAGCTGCGAGTTAGACACCCAACTCACATTGAATTTCAATGACAGTTATTCACCTAATTGCCTTTTATGCCTTTGGCAACCTCCCCTATCGTGTTTATCTTGAGTACAGCTGGATGTACCTGGGAAAACAGGAAATGTGGTCTCTTTTTGGGAGCCGAAGCTGATCGGATTTCAAGGTTGGGCTGAGCATAGTTAAAGCTAGAGAATCGCTCAGTGGAAATGGGCTGTACTGCTTTGTTATGTCTTGGGAAAACTTCTATTCTTCCATGATGAAACTAAGTAAGGGCCCAAACCTGAAAGGTGCTAAGCCTGACTTACCCGGGAATTGAAGGATGCTCAGGACCTCAAAGGAGATGCTGAACACCTTGTAGAATCAGGGCTTAAAGCTAGAAAGACCTTTTATGTGATTCCCTATGCCACTTCTGTTTCTCTGCCACAGTTGCTAGTCTGGCCTCAGGCTTCTCTTACACACCAGAGGAAGAGAGAAATGACTTTTTGAACAGGCAATGATGCAGTGATCTTGCTCTGAATGTCACCTAATGCATCAACCACTTTGTTGCTTTTCACGCATGGAGCAGTTTACACTGCCCACAGGCTTAGTGGCAGAATTTTTTGCCATTTCTTAGGGGACTCATTCTTCATGGCAAGCCTAATGAGTACTTTCAGGCTAGTGATGATGAAGTGGGAGCCTAAGGAGCCAGCCTGCAGAGCTTGGCTTACAAGCATTCAGCTCTCTGTGACCAGGTCACTCCAGCTCTCACACTGACGGAATATTCACAATGCTCTCCCCCCCACATGAAAATACAAAAATACTTACCAGCCATGGTATCACACTGGTGATTTTTAGATAACAGAATAGTAAGCCACTAACATAAAGTAACATATCTACTCCATCAATTAATGTACCATCTTCTGATATACCATGTTCTAGTGGGATTCTGGCATTCTGCAGCCAGGGAGCACACTGTGGAGGCACCCAGGCGTGTCACAGAACATGGAAGAGAGAATGACCAAACAAAGGCTCCTGCCCTCCAAAGAAACTTCAGCACTTCAAAGAAATGCCTGTGTTCTGCTACAGAACAGAGGCTGGAACAGAACCCAATAACAAAAGGGTTAAAGAATGACTAATTTTATTCAAACCAATGGATGAAGGAGCAGTTGTATTTGCACTATACATTTAGGTGTGTGTGTTGCACTAGCGAGTAAGGGAATACTGTGCAGATCTGTATGCTGTGGCTAGAAGAATATGCATGTGAAAGAGAACCTGTGAGATGAAAGAGCCTTACTATGACCAACCAGGCTTGTTCATTAATGAAAGTGGTGTGAGCTTCCAAGGAGGTGTGCTGTATACATGCATATGGAGGAGGGCAGGAGCCTTTGTTTGCCCCTCTGCCATGTACACTGGTCAAACTGGACAGTCTCTACGTAAAAGAATAATGGACACAAATCAGACGTCAAGAATTATAACGTTCAAAAACCAGTCGGAGAACACTTCAATCTCTCTGGTCACTCGATTAGAGATCTAAAAGTGACAATTCTTCAACAAAAAAACTTCAAAAACAGACTCCAACGAGAGACTGCTGAATTGGAATTAATTTGCAAACTGGATACAATTAATTTAGGCTTGAATAGAGACTGGGAGTGGATGGTTCATTACACAAAGTAAAACTATTTCCCCATGTTTATTTCCCCCCCACACACACACACACACACTGTTCCTCAGATGTTCTTGTCAACTACTGGAAATGGCCCACCTTGATCATCACTACAAAAGGTTTCTCCCTCCCACCCCCCGCTCTCCTGCTGGTATTAGCTCACCTTACCTGATCACTCTCGTTACAATGTGTATGGTAACACCCATTATTTCATGTTCTCTGTGTATGTAAATCTCCCCACTGTATTTTCCATTGAATGCATCCGATGAAGTGAGCTGTAGCTCACGAAAGCTTATGCTCAAATAAATTTGTTAGTCTCTAAGGTGCCACAAGTCCTCCTTTTCTGCTTATTGAGCAATATGGAGATTGTAACTTACTTAAGGGTCTCCCATAGACTTTAGATTTAGATTCAGTAGTTCTTTCAGTCTTCTCTGCACAGTTAAATTTATCAGTATAATTGTAGTGCTCTAGTGATTAATTCAGCTAACTAGCTAAATACATTTTTGCTAGCAAGCAAGCAAATATATTTGGGCTTGCCACAGACTTGTATTAAAACAAGGTCTATTCTTTGGTGCAGTGCGGCTTCTTGGTACTTTCGATATATGCACTCCATGCGACTCTCACAATGGAGCTAAAAGCACAACAGAGTTGTAGGGAAGAGTGATGAGTGAATGGAATTAATATAGAAGAGAATACAATTAACTTAATAAAATACTATCCAGGTACAGTACATTGTGAAATAAAGCTAGAACTAGAAATGGCATTTTCTAAAAACGTAGAGAATGTCATTTTCCTAAACAGAATTAAGTAACTAAAGTAACTGAATGTAGCAAAACGTGAGGTGGCAATTGTCTTTCTGGGAGGCATTTACTCTCATTCCAACATATTAACTACTAAGTTCCTACTGTGTGGTGTGTGCATGTCCAGTTTGTGGAGGTTTTTAAACTAGTTCTGGGTATGTTTGCAAGACAATAATATGCTTTTTCTGCTTGTCTATATATTGTTTCTGTGCAAATTGACAGATGCCACACGCTGGTACACATTCCGATATTCAATGTCTCAATTAATTATGCATAAGGAGAAAAAGTATGCAGACTTTTGGCTAAGTGTTGAAAATCCCTGTAAGCAGTTTTTATGATATTGAGCAAGCATGCAACTGCCAAAAGTAGTTCTGTAATATATAGGAATATTTAGTGCATTTTATATTACTTGATTATACTGGTACTGGGTCCCTCCTCTCCCCACCCCCAATGCTCTTTTCGGGAGGCATCTTTAAGACCAATTATTCTCTATCATTATTACCTGCAGGAAATCGGTCTTACATTTCCCCACCGTAGAAATAATCAGCAGTAACTATGAAATATCAAGCTGCTACCTTTTTAATGAGCTAAGCAGCATAACCACTAATTTATGGTAACTTCCCATGTGACAATAAAAATACATTAACTTTTATTTTTAATAAAGGCAATACAAAAACACCAGAATTACTGTACAGATAGAGAATAATCATAAGCATATGTGTGAATGAATTAACATTGGCTGTTAATTTTAATACTGTTGATTAGCATTCATAAAGTCACATTTTTTTTTTAACTTGAGCCTTTAATTGGAGCATTGCCTGCCAATGGTTTTATAGGCGGGGTAGGGCCACTGGATAAAATGTTTAAAAGTGGCTAAGTCCCATTTTCAAAAGTAACATGTAGACTAAGGAACCTCAGGGCCAGACTTGCAAAAGTATTTAGGCACCTGATTGATGCAGGTAGGTGCCTAGGAGCTTATGAAAATCCCCCTAATTCTTTTTTAAATCAATAGGAGTTACAAGCTTTTTGGAAAGCTGAGTAGACACCTAGCTGCCTCATTAGGCACCTAAATACCTTTGAGAAACTGGCCCATAGATGCTTTTTTTTAAATGGCCTTTGTAACCTTTTATGTTGAAATTTTCCCAATTAATATTAAATTGTTAACAATAATAGTGCAATAAAACCCAACTTAGTTTTCAGGTTTGAGCCTCTAGGTTGGTTACAGAAAATTTAGTTAGTAGGGGACCACTAGGTGACACTTTGAATGATAAAACCAAACATTTTTTAATAAAGAAAATGATTAGTTAAGCAAACAGGCATGCAATTACCATGTACACAACACTACAATTATACTTACACTCAAAGATGAAATAGTGTATCAATGGGTCATCAGTCCCCTGCCAACAGAGTGAAGTTCAGTTTCATAATCCTGGAACTTAATGGCTCCCTTTTCATGTTAATTGGAGCTCCCCTGTAATTTAGGAAAACTGTTTCTTTTATTGATCATTATAATACTAATTAACATTATACTGCCCTTACCATAAATATATTTCCACCTCCTCATTGGCTCTATTCATTACACATTATTTAAATAAACACGTAAACCAATATCCTTCCCATACTATCAATATAGATAGGATTTTAATAACATTCACAATTCTTAAAAACACTCATTAAAAACCTGGAACAACCAGTTAGGGCCATAACCTAACCCTGGGTCACATCCTTACTTACTTCAACTTTCTTACTCTATCCTTACTCTGACATCTTACTCTATCCAACTTATCAGTTTCTCACACTCGCAAGCTCAGTTTCCGATACTCCTCTACACTGAGGCGCAACTCCTACTTTCTATTTAACTAAGCCCTGGTCTACACTAGGACTTTAGGTCGAATTTAGCAGCGTTAAATCGATGTAAACCTGCACCCGTCCACACAATGAAGCCCTTTATTTCGACTTAAAGGGCTCTTAAAATCGATTTCCTTACTCCACCCCTGACAAGTGGATTAGCGCTTAAATCGACGTTGCCGGCTCGAATTTGGGGTACTGTGGACACAATTCGATGGTATTGGCCTCCGGGAGCTATCCCAGAGTGCTCCATTATGACCGCTCTGGACAGCACTCTCAACTCAGATGCACTGGCCAGGTAGACAGGAAAAGAACCGCGAACTTTTGAATCTCATTTCCTGTTTGGCCAGTGTGGCAAGCTGCAGGTGACCATGCAGAGCTCATCAGCACAGGTGACCATGATGGAGTCCCAGAATCGCAAAAGAGCTCCAGCATGGACCGAACGGGAGGTACGGGATCTGATCGCTGTTTGGGGAGAGGAATCCGTGCTATCAGAACTCCGTTCCAGTTTTCGAAATGCCAAAACCTTTGTGAAAATCTCCCAGGGCATGAAGGACAGAGGCCATAACAGGGACCCGAAGCAGTGCCGCGTGAAACTGAAGGAGCTGAGGCAAGCCTACCAGAAAACCAGAGAGGCGAACAGCCGCTCTGGGTCAGAGCCCCAAACATGCCGCTTCTATGATGAGCTGCATGCCATTTTAGGGGGTTCAGCCACCACTACCCCAGCCGTGTTGTTTGACTCCTTCAATGGAGATGGAGGCAATACGGAAGCAGGTTTTGGGGACGAAGAAGATGAGGAGGAGGAGGAGGTTGTAGATAGCTCACAGCAAGCAAGCGGAGAAACCGGTTTTCCCGACAGCCAGGAACTGTTTCTCACCCTAGACCTGGAGCCAGTACCCCCCGAACCCACCCAAGGCTGCCTCCTGGACCCAGCAGGCGGAGAAGGGACCTCTGGTGAGTGTACCTTTTAAAATACTATACATGGTTTAAAAGCAAGCATGTGAAAGGATTACTTTGCCCTGGCATTTGCGGTTCTCCTAGATGTAGTCCTAAAGCCTTTGCAAAAGGTTTCTGGGGAGGGCAGCCTTATTGCGTCCTTCATGGTAGGACACTTTACCACTCCAGGCCAGTAACACGTACTCGGGAAACATTGTAGAACACAGCATTGCAGTGTATGTTTGCTAGCATTCAAACAACATCCGTTCTTTATCTCTCTGTGTTATCCTCAGTAGAGTGAGATATAATTCATGGTCATCTGGTTGAAATAGAGTGCTTTTCTTCAGGGGACACTCAGAGGAGCCCATTCCTGCTGGGCTGTTTGCCTGTGGCTAAACAGAAATGTTCCCCGCTGTTAGCCACAGGGAGGGGGGAAGGTTGAGGGGGTAGTCACGCGGTGGGAGGAGGCAAAATGCGACCTTGTAACGAAAGCACATGTGCTATGTATGTAATGTTAACAGCAAGGTTTACCCTGAAAGAGTGTAGCCACTGTTTTATAAAATGTGTCTTTTTAAATACTGCTGTCCCTTTTTTTTTCTCCACCAGCTGCATGTGTTTCAATGATCACAGGATCTTCTCCTTCCCAGAGGCTAGTGAAGCTTAGAAAGAAAAAAAAACGCACTCGTGATGAAATGTTCTCCGAGCTCATGCTGTCCTCCCACACTGACAGAGCACAGACGAATGCGTGGAGGCAAATAATGTCAGAGTGCAGGAAAGCACAAAATGACCGGGAGGAGAGGTGGCGGGCTGAAGAGAGTAAGTGGCGGGCTGAAGAGAGTAAGTGGCGGGCTGAAGACAGGGCTGAAGCTCAAATGTGGCGGCAGCGTGATGAGAGGAGGCAGGATTCAATGCTGAGGCTGCTGCAGGACCAAACCAGTATGCTCCAGTGTATGGTTGAGCTGCAGCAAAGGCAGCTGGAGCACAGACTGCCACTGCAGCCCCTCTGTAACCAACCGCCCTCCTCCCCAAGTTCCATAGCCTCCACACCCAGACGCCCAAGAACGTGGTGGGGGGGCCTCCGGCCAACCAGCCACTCCACCACAGAGGATTGCCCAAAAAAAAGAAGGCTGTCATTCAATAAATTTTAAAGTTGTAAACTTTTAAAGTGCTGTGCTTAAAGTGCTGTGTGGCATTTTCCTTCCCTCCTCCACCACCCCTCCTGGGCTACCTTGGTAGTCATCCCCCTATTTGTGTGATGAATGAATAAAGAATGCATGAATGTGAAGCAACAATGACTTTATTGCCTCTGCAAGCGGTGATTGAAGGGAGGAGGGGCGGGTGGTTAGCTTACAGGGAAGTAGAGTGAACCAAGGAGTGGGGGGTTTCATCAAGGAGAAACAAACAGAACTTTCACACCGTAGCCTGGCCAGTCATGAAACTGGTTTTCAAAGCTTCTCTGATGTGTACCGCGCCCTCCTGTGCTCTTCTAACCGCCCTGGTGTCTGGCTGCGCGTAACCAGCAGCCAGGCGATTTGCCTCAACCTCCCACCCCGCCATAAACGTCTCCCCCTTACTCTCACAGATATTGTGGAGCACACAGCAAGCAGTAATAACAGTGGAAATATTGGTTTCGCTGAGGTCTAAGCGAGTCAGTAAACTGCGCCAGCGCGCCTTTAAACGTCCAAATGCACATTCTACCACCATTCTGCACTTGCTCAGCCTGTAGTTGAACAGCTCCTGACTACTGTCCAGGCTGCCTGTGTACGGCTTCATGAGCCATGGCATTAAGGGGTAGGCTGGGTCCCCAAGGATACATATAGGCATTTCAACATCCCCAACAGTTATTTTCTGGTCTGGGAATAAAGTCCCTTCCTGCAGCTTTTGAAACAGACCAGAGTTCCTGAAGATGCGAGCATCATGCACCTTTCCCGGCCATCCCACGTTGATGTTGGTGAAACGTCCCTTGTGATCCACCAGAGCTTGCAGCACTATCGAAAAGTACCCCTTGTGGTTTATGTACTCGGCGGCTTGGTGCTCCGGTGCCAAGATAGGGATATGGGTTCCGTCTATGGCCCCACCACGGTTAGGGAATCCCATTGCAGCAAAGCCATCCACTATGACCTGCACATTTCCCAGGGTCACTACCCTTGATATCAGCAGATCTTTGATTGTGTGGGCTACTTGCATCACAGCAGCCCCCACAGTAGATTTGCCCACTCCAAATTGATTCCCAACTGACCGGTAGCTGTCTGGCGTTGCAAGCTTCCACAGGGCTATCGCCACTCGCTTCTCAACTGTGAGGGCTGCTCTCATCTTGCTATTCATGCGCCTCACGGCAGGGGAAAGCAAGTCACAAAGTTCCATGAAAGTGCCCTTACGCAGGCGAAAGTTTCGCAGCCACTGGGAATCGTCCCAGACCTGCAACACTATGCGGTTCCACCAGTCTGTGCTTGTTTCCCAAGCCCAGAATCGGCGTTCCACAGCATGAACCTGCCCCATTAGCACCATGATGCATGCATTGGCAGGGCCCATGCTTTCAGAGAAATCTGTGTCCATGTCCTGATCACTCACGTGACCGCGCTGACGTCGCCTCCTTGCCCGGTATCGCTTTGCCAGGTTCTGGTGCTGCATATACTGCTGGATAATGCGTGTGGTGTTTAATGTGCTCCTAATTGCCAAAGTGAGCTGAGCGGCCTCCATGCTTGCCTTGGTATGGCGTCCGCACAGAAAAAAGGCGCGGAACGATTGTCTGCCGTTGCTCTGACGCAGGGAGGGGCGACTGACGACACGGCTTACAGGGTTGGCTTCAGGGAGCTAAAATCAACTAAGGGGGTGCCTGTACATCAAGGAGTATTTCAGGCAGGACTGCACGGAGGGTTCCAATAAGAAATGGTGCACCTAAGTTACCGTTCTTATTGGAACAAGGAGGTTAGCCTGGCCTCTGATTGATACATGGCTAGATTTACCTCGCTGCACCTTCTCTGTGAGTGACTGCAGTGTGATCTAGAGGAATGAGTCCCCTAGACAGGGGAGGAGGCAAATGAGTACAAAACAAATCTGGTCTATTTCTTGTTCTGAGCCACTCCATCTATCTTTTACATCTTTGGCTGGCAGCAGACGGTGCAGAAGGACTGCATGCCATCCACATCTCATGGCTGCTCGGCAGAAGATGGTACAGTACGACTGCTAGCCATCTTCATCTCTTGCCTGCCTGGCAGAAGATGGTACAATACGACTGCTAGCAATCCTCATCTCTTGCCTGCCTGGCAGAAGATGGTACAGTACGACTGCTAGCAGTCCGTATCGCCTGCCCGCTCACCATAAGACGGTTCAATAGGACTGACTGCAGGACTAAAGAGAATGACCTGGTCAAGTCACTCCAAATTTAGTCCCTGCGCCCATGTCTGCCCAGGCGCTCCCAGTCGACGTGGCCAGGAGCACCTCGGACACGACGAGGACGACTACCAGATGTATTGCACCGTCTGCTGCCAGAAGGCAATGGGTTGCTGCTGCTGTGCAGCAAAGCCGTACCGCATCTGCCAGCACCCAGGAGACATAGGGTGACGGTTACCTGAGCGGGCTCCATGCTTGCCGTGGTATGGCATCTGCACAGGTAACTCAGGAAAAAAGGCGCGAAATGATTGTCTGCCCTTGCTTTCACGGAACGGGGGCCTGACGATATGTACCCAGAACCACCTGCGACAATGTTTTAGCCCCATCAAGCATTGGGATCTCAACCCAGAATTCCAATGGGCAGCGGAGACTGCGGGAACTGTGGGATAGCTACCCACAGTGCAACGCTCCGGAAGTCAACTCTAGTCTCGGTACTGTGGAAGCGCTCTGCCGAGTTAATGCACTTAAGGCACTTAGAGCATTTTCTGTGGGGACACACACACTCGAATATATAAAACCGATTTCTAAAAAACCGACTTCTATAAATTCGACCTTATTCCGTAGTGTAGACATACCCACAGGCTACAGATTTAGACTTCTAAGTTACTTAGTGGGGGAAATTTTAAGGTTACCTATGTCCACTCTATAACTTATACCTTAAGGGCAAGATTTTTTTTTAAAAAATGGGTGCCTAAAGTTAGCCGCCTAAATTTAGGCTTTAAAATAAGTTGACCTGATTTTCAAATGTTCTAAGTCAGTAGTTCCCAGCCCTTTTACTAAGGCAATCCACCAACTGCTTTTTGTCTCTGTGACCCAGCACCCTCCCCCCGGCACTGGCACTGCAATCCCAGCCCAGTGCCAAGGGGTGTTCCCCCGAGGCTGGGACTGGAGAGAGAGCCTGCCCCACACTCACCCCGCAGTTGTGGCTGCTGTCCTCAAGTGCTGAGCCCAGCTCCCCTTCCCAGGTGTTGCAACCTGCCACACAGGGTTGCAGCACTACTTAGTTTTAGTCCAGCTCCCCTTACTGGGCCAAACCTGAGTGACTCTGTGATCCTGTGTGCCAGGTCACAACACCTGGAGTGGGCAGCTAGGCTCAGTCCCATGGAACAGGAGCTACTGCTGTGGGGCAAGTGCAGGTTGGGCTTACTCTCCAGCCTCCCACATCCAGGGCCTCCCCTCACAGTGGACCTGTAAAAATGTATGTTTGCCTAGGCCAGGACCCAGTGGTGGGTTAATTTGGCCCTGGATGTGGCGACCCACTCTCTGGTTGGGACCCACCATTTGGGAAATAATGTTCTAAGTAGTTGGTAGCTCCCACTGAAGTCAGCACTTTTGAAAATCAGGTCACCTTTCTTGAAGTCTAAATAAAATAATTTAGGAGCTCAACTCCCCCCCCCCCTTTTTTTTTTTTTAGATCATCATACCCTAATAACTTTCCAACACTAGCTTCTGTCTGAACAACTATAAGCTTTCACGCAAGAGCAGACTGTCCCTCCACCCTCCTCCCCACTGTAAAGTTGGATGTTTGCTGTGTTGGGAGGTCATGACGCTTCCCAGTGATCAAAATACAAGTACAGCTGAAAGTCTTTAGTGAATTTTACATTATCTTAAAAAACCATCCTAAACAATAATTCAGTTTACAGGTCTCTTCATGCAGACCTACAGTAGAATACTCAGTTCAAACACTTTATCATTCCATAGTAGGTAAGTATAGCTATAGCATATTGGCTCCTTGAACATAACCTAGTGAGAAAAATCTTTAGACCCTGAAAAAATGGAAACAAAATTCTCAACCCTTTTTTTGTCAATTTGTGTACTTAGGAAATTCCATTAAGGCTTTCACACAAATCTGTTCTGTTTAGTCCTGCCAATACACACTTTAAAATGCCTCCGACTACACAATAAGCTGTGATAATACACAACAAACTGTCTATATGATAGACTGCAGTAATTCCAATCATGATATCCACTATCTCACACTCCCATGAGATTTCATTTTCATCTTTGCTAATGCTACTAGAAATAATGGGCATAAATCCTGAAGTCTCAAAGTAAGCACAAATTCAGGTGAATTCTGGTAGTTTTGACTGCATTAGGACTCGTCTTCTCATTATATTCCTACAACAGATGAACAATAAACCTCATCATTTGACTTCCAGTCATGTGGTGTTGTCAATTACATAGCCCTGGTCTACACTGGAAGGGAGGAGGGAAATCGATCAAAGTTACGTAACTTCAGCTACATGAATAACGTAGCTGAAGTCGACGTACTTAGATCAACTTACCGTGGTGTCTCCACCGCGGTGAGTCGACTGCTGCTGCTCCCCCGTTGACTCTGCCTGCACCTTTCACAGCACTGGAGTACAGGAGTAGACGGGAGAGTGCTCAGGGGCTGATTTATCGTGTCTAGACTAGATGCGATAAATCGATCCCCGCTGGATCTATCGCTGCCCGCCAATCCGGCGGGTAGTGAAGACATACCCTAAGACTCTTGAGGGAAAGGGATATCTCTGTTTTAACAAATGATGAACTGATATATGGAGAGCTGAAAGGGTCACATTAACTTAAAATTTTCATCTTTTTAACGGTTCCTTTAAGAAGTGTAAAGAAGTTACTTTTAGGGACCCCTTGGTGGCCCTAACAAATTTTGTAGTTTTAACAATTGCATTGAGACTGTACATAAACTGCTGTCAAATACCCTACTGAACAAATTGAAAAGATTTCATAGATTCTCAAACTTCATTGCACTGCGACCCCCTTCTGACAACAAAAATTACTACACGACCCCCGCAGGGGGGACCAAAGCGTGAGCCCAGCTGAGCTCTGCCGCCCTGTGCTTGGGGACCAAAGCCAAAGCCCAATATCTTCAGCCCCTAGGCAGGGGGCTGTA